ATTTGATGTGGCGGGGGTGGAACTGTTTATCACTAGTTTGCCGACGACGCTCGCGCTTTCTTGACATCGATCTATCTTGTGTCAGTCGCATGATCATCCTGGCTTGTTGCCCCCAAAATAATGAAAAAGACTTCAGTACTCACTTCATTCGTCTAGTCGGGCAGCTCCTTTCCTTCTGATCCCGTCTGATCGGTCTGCCATTTCTGTCAGGAATTGGACTCGCCGAGAACGTGGTGTTGCAACGTATAGCGCAAAAAGGCACTCACTGACTGCTTACAGACTGAGCTTGATCATTCCGACTGAATTGAGTCGGTTCCGGCGACTGGCTTCTTTCAATGGGCTCAAACCGAACCCTCCGATTGCGTCTGCTCTCAGGCTTTGCAGCTGGAGAGGATGCGCGACCATGTTCTGTGGGGGTGGATCCCAGCTTCGTACGAGATGAGCGCGTAGGTTTCGAAGAGCCCGCAGGTTTCGAGGAGCCCGCAGAGTCTAAGGAGTAGGTCTCTCCCCCCAAACTGTCAACCCATTTTTTGTAATCTTCGAAAAGTTTGTTGCAGCGACGTTCAGCGGCTTTCCTGTCATACTGCGCCATTGTCAACGAAGGAACTCTGACGTGGTCGAGGATGAGGGGCTGTCAAAAAAGAAGATTTTCTGAAATAGATTGAAGGGAAGGTCCCATCTCCCACTTGAAAACGTGCCGGCAGGAAATTTATCAGTGGCCACTCCACTCGAGTAGTGCTACATTCATTCATTCCTTGAGAATGGCTGAAGGTGGAGAATTGAGTTGAAAGTGGGGCTCTGCGGCTGGGGAAGCTTGCAAATATCAACGTTGAGCCATCCCCAGTGAACGTCCAATCTTCACCACCTATGAATTGTACTGTACCTACGAAAACTTTTCATGCCTTTTCGCCTTCGGCCGCTCGTAGCTGCCGGGTATGCAGATTTATGGGAGAGATGATGGACTATGCTGTAATTCCGCAGAAAATATTTCATTTTTGCCGCCCGTTGAGGTGATTCAACATCTGTTGAAGTATGCGATCTAGAGTTTACGGCCGATCTCGCCAAGCGCCCCACTTCGAACCGTGGCGTGCATGAATCTAGACAGGGCCACCCATGGAACCATATCTTGGTGGTTGTATCTCATATTCAAGATGTTTAGGGTGAATCGCCTTTCACAGTCGTTGAAATGAACGTTGAAAAGTGCAAATAAAGTTTGAGAAATGCCTGGCGAGAAGAAAATTCCTGGGACGTTTGGTAGGCCACTTGGATGGCATTGCAGTATTAGTTGGTTCCATTTTGACCACACCAATGCATAACTGGAAATACTTTGTCACTGTTGTTCACCAGCTTCAACGGTTATACGCATTACTGGTATCTATTTACGTACTGGAATGCGGGCCGGCAGATTTTCTAAAATAGGTCTGTAACCTTGTGTTAGTATGCTTGGCTTATCCTGGCGTCGGTGATGAGTTCAGTGTTGGGTCTACAGTAAAGCAAGGGCTTTTGTTTGTGCTGGCAGGCCGAAGTGTCCATGCCTATCGGTTCAAGTAATCGAATTAGGGGTTATTTCTCGGTGCTTGAAAATGTGACTGCTCAGTCAACTTTGAACTGTGAACAGAAAGAATCGGGTAAACCGTGAAGCTCCGATCATTTCATTGATCATCGTCCAACCGTAGAGGAATTTCAAGGTCTTGACCTAGAATCCCGCTGAAAATTTGTTCGTCAATCAACGGTTTTTTAAACGATGCCATGTCCATAAACTCGTCACGGCTATTTCTACACTACATGGGCTTGACTTCTCTGGTGACAGTCTCAAGTTGGCATTCTAAATGCCACTCAAATTAACGGGTATTGAACGTAAACATGATTTTCAACAGGCCGCAGATTTGGACAGCTACACTCACAATTATGATAACGGTTACCACTGCTAGTAGAAGTCAACCGGTGCTAATAACCATGTGAGGACAGGACAAGTCGAGATGTCTATAAATACCCTCTACTCCCCCGATCCTTTGCTCTAGTCGTTCGGACTTGACAGCGCCAGACACTATCAGCCGACAGGCGATGAGTTCTTCTTCCACTATTAATCACCCCTGGACTGTTCCATTTCAGTATACTGATACAGACAGAGCACCTCGTTGGCTCATAAGAGTCAATCAGTACTTTTGACACTCCCGCGTGAAGATACGCTCATTCTCTTCATTGACCGTCCAGTTGTTATCTCGCATTCTCCTGTTCGAGAAAGCCAACGAGAAGAAACTCGGGCTCCTTGGAATGGTATGGCAGCCCAATCAAGTTGACCCCTTCGCTGTCAAGACCTGCCCTCACTGTCAACGGTGCAAAACGTGACCATGTTACGGGTATGTGCCTCGTTCCCCTTGCCATGGCTCACACTAACCCCGAAGACTCTTTGTGCTGCCTAGAATTGGGTGCATATGGCCTGAATACACAAGTGCATTGCATGTGGAACTCCCAATTCCCGATTGCCACTTAAAAAAAGTCAGTCAACCCCTCCTGTCCTCCAAGACACTGGTTAATGACTGGCAGCAAATCATGAGTTCTGCGTCAGACATCGCAAGCGTTCGAGTGTATCACGATGAATGATCGTATCGCAAAGCTAAAGCTTACACGCTATTTTCTGGCTAGCGGCACTAGTAGTATTAGTAACCATCGCACTACCCGTTCTGCCTACTGTGAAACCCTGCGACCGGGAATGTGCTCCAATAACGGGACCGGGACAGAGCTCGCCACGGTTTGTGAATTGTTTGAAGCCACTCAGAGCCCCATGATCTGAAACCACACTGCAGTCAGCTGACCGACCGAAATAGGGAAACAACCAAGAAATACGGCCGTCGTCGAATCAGAGACGTAGCAGTTGATCTAATCTGTTATCTTCCGCGTTGCCCCAACAGCATACGTACGGCGGACCGATGGCGGATCCAAATGTGAGTTCCTGAGCGCTCCCACACACTCCAACGCAACAACACATTTTCAATGAACTTCGAACGGTCAATCGTTTCTCACACCATTCGCAAATGGAGGATCCCACGCTATGGAGACAATAGTGTGCAGATCACCACCAAGCAGCTGCGATGGCTCGTCGACGACACCACTCGAAGCCCCGTCAGAGAACCCACGAAATCAGAACTGGGGTCAAACACGAATAGCACGCCTTCAAAACTGTCAATGACAAGTGGAAGAAGTGTGATCGCATCGGAAGCAGATCGACGGCCTTCCCCTCCTTCTTCCTTGTCGCGATCGCTGGCCGCTGCGAGAGCCTGCTCTGCGAATCTCGGACTGCGGTGAGCCACCAGCGACTTGGAAAGACCGCGACTGCCTTCGATTTCCTCCGTTTATCTTCAAAACAGTGAAGACGAGGATAAGAATGCCTTCGGCCTGTACCTCCGTTAGTCCTTGGTCCAGCAAACAGTCGCATCCGAACGGCCTCATCGAATGCGGTCGCTGCGCAGGATGTGCAGTGGCCTCCACTAGCACCACGAAGACCGAGTATGGCACCTGGTTCGAATACTCGGGGTCGACTGAGCCCGCATCAACACGAGTAGTTACACGAATCGGGTAACAACACCAAACGGCCAAAACACAGTCGGAATCATTGTTCACCCTACCGCAATAATCTTTGATCGGGAAAGCGTTCAGACGCAATCCATCAAGATCCTTGACGAGAACGAGCTACTGGAAGAGGTCCATTCGTTGGTTCGCGATTCAACCGCCTGTCCTGGTCATGCAAGGTAACACTGTGAGGTTGACACCACGCCAGTCAAATGAACGTCAATGCTGCCCGCCAGGCATGGGAACGCAATAAGATGTATTGATAAGCATCCGACAATAGTCAGATCCTCTTGAAATGTGAGAGCTGAGCGTTGAATCTGCGCGTGACGAAATCGCGGGCAGGAATGGAGGCCCTCATTATCGATCACCAGACTCAGAAGCTGGATATTCTGGCTCATCCAAGGAACCATCGATCCCCGTGTACCGAAGGCATGTCCGCCACAGTGCGTGACGGGTGTCATAACAGACTCTGCAAAACGGCTCGGTCCGATTTCAAAGCCTAATCCATGCGAACAGACTGATCTCGACCTCGTCCCACCGACAGATCCCATGGATCTGACAGCAGTCGAGATCTGTGCAGCCGACTTCCAGATCCTTCTGGTTGAGTCTACCGTCTGTTAGTGTCGCTTCACGCCTCGGACGGGCGTCGGCGGATTGGCGTGGCTACCTTTGGGACACCATTCTCAGCCCCAATTGCTCGCCAGGATCATTTCTTACCACCCAGAACATGTCAGTGGTGAATCAACTACTTCAATCCCTTAGCTAATGACAGGCAGGGAGGGATAAATTGGAAGAACGGTACCAACACATGGAGCTCGCAACGTTCTGCGAGCTGTTCGCCTAGCTTCGCGTGACCGCGGTTACATCCGCACGCTATCAAGGCAGAGCGGAGTGTTTCCGGCTCACCAAGACAAGATGAACAGCAGAGCCCGCTGACTTCCAAGAGACCAGGGATCGATATCGTGATGGCGAGGGGGACGCCCCTTTTAGTCCCACCCCAAACCAACACCACAACCGCCGTAGATGCCGGATTCCATCGCCACCGGTCACACCTGTTAGGGCCGGAACTGCTTCAGCAGCCTGCAGTCTCACCGCAAGATATAGGACCAGGCGGGAGGTCAGTGACAAGATCGAAATGACGCAGCTTGCACTCCAGTGGAGGTTCAACCAACCTACGGTCTTGAATAATGTATATTTCGCTCCACCCGTCGGGGGAAGTCTCTGGGCAAAATCTTTCGACCAACCAACAATGAGCAACTAGCTGCCGTTGATATTGCAGCTGCCACTCCCCAGCGTCTAAAAGCACTACTCAAGGTCCAATACCTGTGCGTATTGTTCGTGAGAGAGTACTCTCAGAAACAATGTGGTGCTCCGAGACAGTGACACACCATGTCAATGACCAATCAGCTTCAAGTTGGTGCTCCTGCTTGTCAATTGCGGCGAAGGCCAAAACCATTACGGTCTGGATGTCCGCCGCGACCGCCGCCAAAGCAGTCTGAGTTCCGGCCACGCTTGCCGCCAGTGCCTGCCGCAATGCGTTGACTGATGGCCTTGGATGAGAGGCCAGCACCAATTTCGATATCTGGCTCCTCGACAACCATTCCCGACTGTATGGGGCGACCTCCGGTGCCACCATACTCCGCCGTGAGCAGCCATTTGCGATCCGCATCGGTAAGTCGCTCGATCGGAATGACGCTGATGCCAGTCTGATAGTCACTGCAGTCACGCGGGCCGAAACCGACACCCCATCGTGTGCGGAGTTGCATCTCGCCTGAACGGAATGACTCTACTCCTTCGCGAGCGCTCACCGCATCCTGGCAGCTAATCATCTTAATGAACGCATGACGCTTCTTAATGTTGACAATACAGGTCTGAACGACGCCGAATTTGTTGAAGAGCGAACGGAGGCGGGCCTCGGAGGAGATGCCACTGACGAAGAGGGTGCGGCTCAGAACCTTGATGTTACCCGGGCCGATGGAATAGTCCCACTCAACGAGCTTAGGACCAGACGAGGGGAGATTATGGTCTGTCCGCAGCGGGGAATGAGACAAGCGTTTCCAGTGCGGAGGACTACGTTTACGGTATTCGTTACTCCGACGACCTCCAGCATCGCGAGGATCACCCTGGCGCCCAGTGGAATCACTGCAATACTGGTCGTGCACCGGCCTGTCGTGGCGGCGAGGCGGCGAGGCGGAGTGACGTTGATCCCAACCGGGCAGGTGAGAAGGACAGCCGTACCCAGCGGGAGGAGAGCGAGAGTGGTCACGATCCCTCCCGCGAGCACTGTCGACACGGTTCTGCACGTCCGGGTGGCCCCCGCCACCAGAGCCCTGGCAGGGTATCGCGCCAAATCCAGGAAGCTGAGCGGGGTTGGCAGCACCCATGGTATCGGCTATAGTGACGAGTTGCAGGGCCGCAACCCACTGGTCCTGCGAGATGCCCTGTTGCGACAGTAATTGCAGCGGGGGAATCTGCCGTGACATCGCCTTTCCATCCATCGCCGGAGCGGCGGCTGGCCACTGCGGAAGCATTGCTACCAATGGGCTCAGGGTCTGGCTATGGCCGCGGGGCTGCGGTATGGCAAGGTTCTCGCCAACAGCACCAAGAGTGGCAAATGGATTGACCATGGCGCCAGCACCAGCAGCAACACCTGTGTATGGGTTAGCCGTTGAGGGTGGCAGGAGAGATGAATCGACAGATGAGACAAGATGCAGAGCCGCGGCTGATGGGGTCAGGGTAGCGAGCGGGTTGGGAGAAGCAGACGTCACCGCGCTCTGTTTAGCCATATCGGCCAGCGGCTTGAGTTCGCCGATGGTATCTGTTGCCGCGGGCGAGCCATTGGCAGGCTTGAAGCTGCGCGGTGAGCCTTTGGACGTGGTGGACTGAACATCTATGAACCATGCCAGAAGCGATGGAATCAGAAGAGGATGAGGGTAAGATCCGACGGACGGTGGATACTACTATGTGGTGGAGCGTTCAGTTTCTCGCGGAATGAGTTAAACAGGAGGGCGGGAAGGAGCAGCAGCACTCCCAGATGTCGACAAGGTTCTTGATCTTTTCCTACAGAGTCCAGAAAGGCATACGTGAGTGATAAGACCTGCAAAGCAATGAAAACGCAAAAAACTGCCAGCACCATGTCCAAGGTTGAACGTGCGCGGGAGAATAAGGTCATTGGCGCGATTGGCACCCAGAGGCCCAGCCCCAGCCTGAACATTCACGCCTAGTGGATGCGTACCTTTTGATCTTGCGGGGCATTGTCGATGATGTCGGTCATCAACACGGGCAACAACTTGGTCAATCGATCGACACCACCAGCGTAGGTCCCATCCGGCGCGGCGCTTCGTGGAGACCGGCCAGCCTTTGCGAGTGGCGTCCACCCATGCCGGGCTATAGAGTCGACCACATAGAGATCGCCCAGCTTGTGGGTGGCGGGAACCTTCTTGAAGTGGGTGTAGACTTTTTGGATGAGAACGGGTTCATCCTGGGGTGCAGGGTTAGCATCTCATCAACTTCATCTCGGCCATCTTAACAGTCTCAACCATCCCAACAATTAAATATCTCAGGAGTAGGGAACGTGTCCTACTTGAACATTGGCGGTGCACAGTCTGGTGATACTGTGAACCTTGGAGCCTGTAATCCCGGGAGGCTTCAAAGCCAGCATGGACCGAAGGTAGCTATCCAGCTCCGCTACAGCCGACGACATGATGGGCTCGCGCGCGTCTCCGCGAGACAGTAACGTTTCAAACAGCGATGATCCTGGGTATGTGTTCTTCGCGGGGCGGTGTTATGTGACTCTCTTAAGGCGGTCTGTAGCGACCAAAAATAGAAGACAGCGGTGGCGGTTCTACTTGCGAAGCGAGCAGAAGAAAGAAAAAGTCAGTTGTCCAGGGGAAAGAAAACCTGTAAAGCCTTTAGGGTGTTTATTTGCGGCCATGTTCCATCGAGGACGAAATATCTTGTCGATCGTTGCAACTCCTTCAAGCTACAGCATATGTATTCACTGTCGAACCAGAGAATCTGTCGCCTTTAGCTGGAATAAAGCCCGAGCGGGGAAGGGACTGCCAGTGGTTGCTGAAACAAATACGCCGGTCGCGTGGATTACGAGGACAAGGAGTGTATGAGTGTGGGGGTACGACCTATCGTTTACTGTAGAGATCTCAGGAGGTCCGTCCTGCCTGAGAGGGGCGAATCGGCGACGTATTTACGGTGTAGGCAACCCGTGGACGGGGCGACAAGACAAAAATAATGGAAATGAGAAGGGGTACGGCGGATAGGGGGACTCCGCCATACCCCAAATTCTACTAAGTACTTATCACGTGACACATGAGCACAACCTCGATCCTGCTGAAGACAAGTTGATTCTGAGCTTCAAAAAATGCACGCCTATTTTATTGCCGAGCAGAAAAGTGCAGAGAATTCTGTGTTCAGTGATATAGATTTCACCCGAAAAATGGTTCTGGGTAGCTGTGGGAAGCCATGAAGAGGAAGCCATGATGGTGCAAAAGCTGGCTGTCCTGAGGGAAGCGAACACAGACTGTTTGCTAGTAACATATAGAGCTAACATGGATGCTGGGCCAAGGCTCATGAACACCAAAAAAGATTCTCCAGCTTTTTTCAGCCGTTCCAAACCTGACATTGGTCCCAGGAGCCCAATGCTGCTTCCAGGAGCATAGTGAATTGTCGCGAGTGTTACGTGCCAGAAAGCAGATCAAATCAACTTGTGCATTTCAACGAAAGTATCAAGACTGGAGAGGGAAAGGAAGAGAAGAGAAGTATCTAGCTGGAGTTTCTCTCCTGAAAACTTCCTGTCTGCCCGATCGGGCAGCCTTGCCTGCTGTGGCCATGCCTCTCAGGCCAACGCAATTTCAATCGCATGAACATCTCAGATCGTCACAGCGAGGAACAATCCTGTTGGGCTACAGGAACGCAGCGGAGACCAGGATTCGCCACGCAGACTCCAGGGAGCCTCGCCTACCCCGGGAACATCTTGTCTATTCCCTCCTGTTACCAAATTGAGGGTTGCTCCGTGGCAAATACGTTTTATAAATAATCTCCGACCTTTCATAGATTGAGCTTAGGAATGGAAAGGCGACTTGAATAATTATTACTCTTGAGGATTTCCTACCGAATAAGTCACAGGTGGTTACCTAGCATGAATAGCGTGCTCTAAATTGGTACTGTACTGGCAGGTATTGTGAAATTTTAATCCACCCAAGCTTCTTTGTTGCGTAGCCAGCACCGGTAAAATGTTGGAATTGAGGGCAATCAAAATATGTGGTATAGTCGGAAATCCCAACGCCGGAATGTCCACGTTGGCTAAAGCATGTGGAACCGTTCAACATCAAAACATCAACACCATCAACACCATCAACACCATCAACACCATCAACACCATCAACACCATCAACACCATCAACACCATCAACACCATCAACACCATCAACACCATCAACACCATCAACACCATCAACACGTCAACACATCAGTACCAGTATCAACACATGACCAGTCTTTCCCGCTATTCATAATCGCGTGTGAAATAAATTAGACTGCAGTAGTCGGGTTTCTCACCTACTACTGCAAACGGAGGCTGTTGACCGAATTCACTTGACACTTGACAAACCCGAAAAAAGTCATTCCTGCTGGCTACTTTATTATTCTGTTCATGTAGTCCGATGGATCAGAGCGGTAAATGGGATGATAATGGCCGTAAGCAATTAGAGAAGTAAAGCAGTGTACCCTGCATAGTTCAAATTAATATACAGCAACTTCAGACACTCGCCATTAAAACATATTGAGCATAGTAAAATTACGTGAATTGACACAATAGGTGCGATCTAAACGGATGGCGGAGCCCCAAGCATTTCATAGCAAATGCTTGTGGCCCTATGCCATGCTTTGGATGGTTGGACCTTGGGTTATTGCAAAAGACCGCCTCGCTATCGGCGTGAGAAGGGAGCACCTCGTGTTGTCTCCAAGAGCCTGTTATCTCGTTGGGCTGTATTCTGGTTGAGCAAGACTAGATACATTACCACGTAGGCTTTATGATGAAATCATATGCTGAATAGTATTCAAAGTCTTTGAAATGCCTTGGCTTTTCCATCACCCAAAGCGTACCTGAAGATTCAATCACTAACATACATTGTTGATCGCATTAAATAAGCCGTCTTTGCTCACAGACCCAGTGCACATAGTTCCAGAGCTTGGAAAATGATCGATTCTCTCGTCCATCGCGACTCGGTGAATATGATTCATGAGCTGCAAAATAATAAGCTTTGAACCAAAGAAAAAGTGAAGGTCTTCTCATACCATATGACGATGCTTCGGCCGACGGCAGTTCTTGACTCTTGACGCCATCTGGCGCACCCTCAGGAATGTCATAGAGCCATCGTCTAACATTTCCGCAGCTGCTAGAATCACTGCTCGAAAGATTGCGTCGTGTGGTGGCTCTCAGACGTCGGGATTTTCCCCGGCTCTTTGAGGTTGTCGCCCGCCGCGACGGTCTAACGCGACCAAGGCGACGTTTTCGTAGGATATGATATTTCTTCCCTCGTAAGGATTCAACCGACCGTTTCACCCCAACTTGTTCCAAATAGGCATCAGAGCGAGCGATCCATGGCAGTTCGCTGTTCTCCTCTAACCAGGGAAGAAGGTTATCTTCCTCCCGTTTAGACCATGGTGTTGCACTGCGCGAGTACATGGTGATAATCTTGATCCCGATGGTTGGAGGCTGGTTATGACAACAAATAGAGGGCAGGTAGGTAGGCTTTGTTGAGCTTTAATCCTCTCGTTTCGCATCATCTAATGCCCGCTCTATTTAGCAACGGAGCGCCGCACAATTAGGTAATATATTCTAGCTGTTTGTTTTAGGTCAACGAAATTGATTGACAGAACCCGTTTCAACGTTGATAACACAAGTAATTCTCATCGTTGCTGAAAAGAACCGGGGGGACGTACTCCAAACGCCTTTGCGATGGAGGTGGAGAATGTAACGTTAGATATACTTTGAGGTCGAACCATGGGACTGAGAACAAATCATTTGTCAAGTTGATAATTGAACATCTCAACGGTGAAACGAAGAGTTTCAAGTTGGTGCCATTCGACTTCCTGCATACATGGCTCTGTGCCTTTGCTGTCCGATAGGACGAAGTGCACGTTGAGTTTGTGGGACCATCAACGTTGACCTGAGAAAACTTCAGACGGTCTTAAACTGATTACAACATGCGGTGCTGGAAATGGAAAGTTTGGAAAACCATGGGACTTTTGGCTAAAACTCAATGGGCAAGAGTTGTGAATTAAAAGCAAAAAGCAAAATACCGTAGCACAATTTAAAAATCTATATAATGGCCATCATCTGAACAACGTGAAACAAGAGCCACGCGACCTCTTCCCCGGTACTAGACGCCAACATGGGAGCAGTTCGAAAGTCTACGTATTCTGCACGACGGCCCGATTTTCGGAGACAACTACAACGTGCCCTGAGCCTGTCCTCTTTTGAAACAGAGGATACCCGTAGTGCGTCAAAGTCATCCGCTGGTGACACTACCGAGGACCAGCTATCAATTCACTCGGAGAACGATGGATCTAGCGTGCAAAGCGGCAGTGTTGGTCGTAACCACGAGGCCCAGATTGATCCTGCGTTGTTTTCGACTGCTCGGGATGTGGAAAAGATTGAAGGTCAGAGAGATCTTCCTGAAGATCGCGACCTGATTGCCTTGGAATGTGTTGCAGAGTGAGTGTCACAGCCGTGACCTTGGAATTACTTGCGCTAAGATTGCATTTGGCAAAGGCTAGATGTCCGAATGAAGTAAGCCGATCTGGGGTGCATTATCTGAGGGAATTTGTGCGCTAAATATTGACATAGGAATGTGGAATCCTCCATGAATAACCAAGAAAGCTTGAATGAAGTGGTCCGCGGTGATTTGGCGAACATCCTCAGTCGATTGGCTATTATGGAGGAGAAAATCAGCAAGGCTGACCCAAACGAGAGGCAGGCTTCGGAAAATCGTCAGACCGAGCGAAGACGGTTTTCGAGACGATAAACGAGACCTATTTCAGTCATCAGCCTTTTGCTGCTCCAGGGATTGATCTCAATAATGGTGACCTCGCTACTTTGTGATTATAAAGGACTATCATAAATTTTGGTTAAAAGACTGGTAAAAATCAACAGTTTAAGTGAATTGACGTTCTGAGTATGGCATTCGCCGATAGCTGATCTATAACAATATTGCGAACTCATGCACTGCATCTAGAACGCGAACCCTTGTAAAAAGGGGAAAGATGTGGTATCCGGAGAACGGCGAGAATTGGAACAGGATGAGTGAGGAAACTCTATACAGTACCATAAAACTTTTACGGGATCGTAGATCCCGGTCGATCATGATTACTGTCGAAAGTTTGAAAGTATTTCGGGCACTCTGCCAAGCGGGGAAGGCTAGACTTTGCCTATGATTTCTGTAAGTGCCGACCCACATTGTGCATCGAACGCTCTGAGGAGAATCTGTGAACCTTAATTCGGTGGGTCAGACTCAATTGAGTTTTTGGAGTCATTTAATACGAGGGCCAGACCGCGAACCTTGGTCGGCGGAGGCGCGGAACATCCTCTGGGTACGGCGGTGCGTAGCGGCCATTCTCCAGTGCATAATTATTAAGCAAGATTTACTGGCAGAATTTACGACCAAGTCACGTTTCTCCACAATTAAACTATGTACTTTCGAAGTAGCCACATAATCTCTCATAAGGGCTTATCAAATTCACGTTTACAATAATCTATCTAACTCATAAGGGCTTAGTTATGAGGCAGAATTAAGGCTAGCTTAGGAGGGGGGAAGGGGGTGGAAAAGGGAAGAAATAATCCTTAACGGAGGTAGAGGAGGCCAAGTATTAAGGAGAGAGAATGATCACATGACTAAGATTCAGGGATTTTCACGTGATTTTGCCTAAAAGGTAAGGTATCAGTAGAAGGGCGGACCCAGAGGCGGTCAATCATATACATGATTTAGCACCAGTCTTGCTTAATAATTATGCACTGGAGAATGGCCGCTACGCACCGCCGTACTCTGGGGAAGAAATTTGTCATTGCGGCGGAAGAGATCTAACCAAAGGCGAAAAAAGTACGGGCCTAGCGGACCCCTTTACCAATTTCCCCCCCGTGCGGCCCGAAGGGCAGGCTTTTTCAAACGTGGGGCGGTCCCCACAACCAGAATGTTATGCGTCATGCATTGCCTCTACAAAGCATAGTTCTAAAAGGACTGTGGTCTACGTAGATTTCTGATATTAGAACATGTCGGCTTTCTTCTAGATAAATCACATTCAACCTTTGGAAACTGACTCAACGGCAAAGATATAATCGCATCACAATTTTACCCATCCACCCTAAAGCAAGGGTGGTGTTTTAGTTTGTAGTTGTTGGCGCTGGCTGGGGCAGAATGGAATATTCGCCAAGCCCAGAAATTTCCGGCAGTGAAGTAGAAACTAGAGGCTCTTGCGCGCTGACTTGAGCAGGCCACGCTCCATACACCACTCCGGAACCTGGCAAATAGGTAGCCAGCTCTCGGTTTTGAATAGCTTCCACACTCCTCCAGAACTGCGTGGCAGCGGATACCAGGTCACCGTGTGCCTGGTACAACGCCGGCTGGATATCATTCCATGCCACTTGGCCCTGCATGGTGGAATTGAAAGACTCAAGCTGCTGTTGCAACTGACTAATCTCCATTTGTAATTCCTTTGCTTCGCCCAAGACTTTCTCGTTCTCCACCAGTACCTTTTTCAATTTGGCCATCTCTTCTGCCTTTTCCATTTGGAGCTGCTGAATTTTCTGGGTACTTTCAGTTCGCTCTCGGTCCTGGTCCTCCCAGACCTTGCAAAGCTCCTTCTGAAAATTGCTCGCCTGCTTCAAGCATTGTCTGTGAATTGATCGACTGTCTTGGCTGTCGTCTTCTCGAGGTCTTTTGTGTGGGGATGACAACTTGTAGTCAAGGTTAACATGGGATCAAATATTGTGAAAAGGGCGAGCAAAAGGCTGCTTTTAATTGAAGGATTCATGAAGCTGAAGAAACCTACCTGATCCGTAGCTGAGCGCTTGACTGATCGCAGTACACGGTGTTCAGCGGTGTCAGAGGCAGCCGATCGTCGGGAATGAGCTCTTGCTAATTCGCTTATGTTGCAGTCCGACTTTGATCTTGAGCTGCCGTTCTCACTTTGCATAGACTTAATGTTGGGTCGCATCGCGGAATTTCAGCCCAGGGACAATGGAAAGTTCGTGAGGAGGAGGAATAAAGACGATAGTTGCTCCCCTTAATGGGGAACTGATCGATTATATATAGGTGATCATGACACAGAATATGAAACATGAGGCGCCCCTGGCCAGAATTCGGGTCATACAAATGCTGAATTAACATCAAAATGTTGCGCCTTGGTGCCACAGAGACAAACTTACCGATGGCTAAGACGTTAGTGCAGAAGTTAAAATTGACTCTGGCTAGAGAGAAATGTGACCCGCCTGCAGAAACATACAACTTGGGGGAAAAGCATGCAAAATGCACACTACCGTTCTGAACCTGATGGGGAAAATCGCTACACCTCACTTTCATTATGCTCGAAATAAGCTTACAATATTAGTAAAATGACTCAATAAAATGACAAAGCCACAGCAAATGATCCCACTACAATGTGTCTCTGAACCACCCGAAATGTGGACCCTGGCGTTGAATTTGCCTAAATTCTTTGTAAGGTACAACAGGAACTGTTTCAGATCAATGCTACAACACCTCAAAGCTTAACGCCTACAGGCCATCTAGAGCATCTGCTAGATTTTGACTTTTGTATGGAGGTAAGATAATCAAAGGTATGAGGCTGCCCAAGCCTGTGCATCCGGTCACAATGTGATGATCGAGGGACCTGGCGTGGCGATAGAAATGAGGAACCTCTCTTAAATTTAGGAAATTCCGTAACAGCAACTGGATTTATCACAGAGCGTATTGCTAAGATTCGGTTCGTAAACTATTGAAATGCCGTAAAAGAATATTTCCTTAATTAACGTGCTGAGTTCACGTTAACGGGCATGACCATAGCAGCGCCTACGTAACCACAAACTGAAAGCCCCTGACCCGGGGTAAAAAGCTAGCTCACTCCATTTTGGCCAGTAAGAAATACATTTTACCGCAAGTTATTTTGCAGAGGTCGCCTGCTGCCTGGGTCTTGCTGGCTGTAAAGGACCAGAGTGGGTCAAAATGAAATGGCCTTCGTTCTAGAAGTTTCTTCCAGATAGCGGCCCCTCAAAGCCTAAAACTGTTAATAGGAACCAAATTGACTTGCCCTCTAGGCCATGTAATCTTTTTCAGTTACGAGATTTCCTTAGACAAAATGATTTGTTTCGGAGAGTCTGGGACGGCCATGACCAGGGTAGGAGTTACCCACTTTGAGAGACCGGAATAAGTAAGAGTCGTGCGTGCTTGACTTCTCAGGGCCCACCGGCATCATCCAAGATGTACAATTCCAAATTCAAAGCCGTTAATTCATGGGAATTGTGATGTAAAACAGCGTGTTCCATGGACCAGCTGTAGGGATTCGTACATGCATTACTTGTCCATTCCATTGTTGACTTCTGGGTTGTTGGAACAGGGGCATTTCCGCCCACAAACCTGCGAATACGATCACTGACAAATATAAGTCCAATGTTTGCTCACCCATGGATCTCTAGTAAAATAAGTTTTGTGGCTTTACTCGGACAATTCCTCATCATGGTCACCCAGCCCTTTTTCTCCAAACCAAAAACCCCTTAGACTCGAAGGAATTTTAACAAGTACTGATTCGCGGAGATTCGATAGGATGCTGAGTAAAATTAATCGTACTTATTCTCATTCATCTTGTCGTAAAGCGAAATCGCGCGAACCGAGTACATCATGACTTTTGAAGGTGAACTCCCATAGGATATTCTACAAATTGAATTCCATTCTTGTCTGATTATGTCACACAAGTAGGTATAATAATAATTAGGCCTGGACATGATATTTCACTTGATCTTGTTGGTCTCAGTTCACAGCCCTCGTCTTTTCATCCTCGTCCTACACTACCATGGACACAATCATTACCAACTTGCCGCCCAACGTGGGAGCCATCCTCATCGAGAATATCTCCATCATTCAAATTATATCCATGTTTTCCATCGGTGCCTACAACGCCCTGGAGACGGGAATTGCCGTGTTCGACTCGTTCAAACACTACCGCGGGCTGTATTTCTGGAGCATGCAGGTAGCATCATGGGGCATACTGGTCCATACGATCCCAGCTATGATACGATTTCTATCTTAGTCATCCAACCTAGCCATGTCAATTCCATTCATTTTGGGGTGGTATGCCATGGTGACTGGACAGGCCGTGGTACTCTATTCCCGCCTGAATGTGCTCGCGACTGACCCCATGAAGCTCCGCTGGGTGCTGTGGATGATTGTTATAAATTTTTTCGTACTGCATATTCCGATGACGGTACTCTTCTACGGTCTGAATAGTGGTCAAAGCGTGTTCGCTCGACCGGCAGCTATCTATGATCGGATCCAGGTGACCGGATTCTGTATGCAGGAATTCGTTCTCTCCGGGGTCTATATTCATCAAGCGCTGGAACAAAGGAGCATCAAGCGAGACCTACATCGCCAAGACGACCGGAAAATCATTCGTCATTTACTTTGGATTAATATTCTTGTTGTCCTGATGAATATACTGCTGCTCGTGGCCGAGTACAAGCTTCATTACATCGAAGTCAGCCTCAAAACCGTGGTTTATAGTATCAAGTTGAAGCTGGAATTCACGGTCTTGAATCGCCTGAGAAAGCTGGGATTTACATCACCTCCTCCTCTGGCTCATCAAATACCCGAATACGCCCGGCAAGAGAGCGACGTCAATCTGGTGGGACGATCACGCCTCCACTCACGCCAAGAATCCAACTCCGAATCAGTGCATACGGAGTGTGGGATCAAGGTGCCACCTCGTGTCTCGCAGCGACCTAGTATTCATGCCAATCATGAGGCCAAGTGCGATGCTCAATCTGACGATACGAGAGTCCGGGGTGCGATCCCGTCTTCAAATCAGTTGACGGCTCCCTCAGCCTGCTCCTCAGATCAGTTAACCACGTCCTTGTCTACTCTGGAGTTGAATCTTTCAAACTTTACGTCAAAATTTGACGTGTAGGTCTTGATTTAACGCAGTTAGAACTTTTCTCCGGGTGGAGACTCATAACCGAATGGGTCTCATGTTAGAAATTTGATTGAAGGATGCTCCTTATGCCAGGTATTTGACGCTACATTATATTAATTCTTATGGCATTGATCAACATGAACGAGGCGTTAGATCATGACTCATTCTCGAAATGGGTTTTCTACAACGCCTGGCGTATTGGATTCTGTGAAGATATATAGAAGCGGGGTTTGCCGAGTCTTACCCCGTTGATTCATCGGGATCGGAGCATACATAAAATAGCCGGGAAGTCCTTGGAGACAAAGTACATTTGTTTCTGTTGAGGTTTCAGCAGTCTTCGATACCACTGAGGCTTCCTTGATATATATCATGTGGCTGAGAACTTCTGTCGAATCTCAGTCTTCCCTGAGACACGCTAGGTTTGTATGGTAAAGCGGACATTTGGGAAGCGTGTAATAGCACGCTTCCACTCAGGGGTTATCTTAGTTTGATGACACCTTCAATATTATTCAATTGCTGGCATATGCCATTGCTCCTCCTAGATCCCATCCCTCATCTTCACAGTTTCTAACAATATGAATTCATCAGGGTACAGCCTGCTATAACTAGTAAAGATGAATCAAAGTCAAATTTCAAAAGTCGAATAACAGGCTGTGCTTGTCTTACAATCGGCGGTTCTTTTCCGGTACGCGAGAGTACGTCCGAATCATTTCAGCTATCCTCTGTCGTTGCTGCTTTTGTAAAACTTTCATGTGGAGTGGCGACAGGGACTGACAGTGAATGTGACTTGATTGTGAAGCTTTCTCGAAGAAAGCCATGTGGCATTCCTCCGCCTCATCGCAGTTGTCACCTGCATCGGGATAGGCAGAGAGCGTAGACACCCCCCAAAATGCCATATCCTGATTGACGGAGACCATAGCGTAATATTTTTGAGAACAGTCGAGATTAGCAAACGTGACAGATGTCCGGCTATTTGAAACCAATTGTTGTCGACAGCCACAGAGTGCCTTCTGATCCGGAAAGCAAACTAAGATAGAGTGATCAGCCATGGAGTCAACCATTGGTCAGGTGGAAACATGTGTCTCTTGGAGTACCTACCTGAGTGTCCATGAAATAGCGATGAATCGATAGCATCGCAGGTGTCTCCATGAAGCACGATATGATACTCGGGTTTAGAACGATGCGCAAAAACCCTGAATTCGGACCTTTTGGTCGTCCAGATGACTGACAGTTGAGCTTTTCCAGATTTGTCAATCGTCACGTAACGGGGCATATAGCGGAGACTGTTTCTCATACACCGAATAACCCAATTCTGAGTGGATCTCGGGAGAGGGAGTTGAGTGTGCATCACAATAAGTGCCTTCCGGCAGAGCTCTTCCAGAAGATGATCGCATAGGCCACTGGATCGGGGCAAATCCTCCTGCGCCAATTTCGACGCAGTGCAAGGAAAAATGCAATGCAGAATAACAGAGTTTTGCCAAATCGGGTCGACGTAAAGGATGTTATCGTCGGGGTGGTAACTTATTGGTACCAAGTCATTCCGTCTCTCCAAACGGATCTCCATATCAGGTGACAAACCGGAAAGGACAACCATGGTATGTAAAACCAAGCGTATCTGTCGCGTGGACACGTTATGGGGATCTATTGATTCGTCGCTTTGTTTCTTTGGCTTCCTGGGTGTCGATGTGGTTGAGATCTGACGGAGTCCACGAGAGGGTCTGGGAACTCGCTTGAGAGAAATATAGCATAATGATGGTTCCTGTCAGAGAAGCATGAGCTGAATGATTGACTAGATTACTCTAAGCCGTGATTGCAATCTCACCGTAAAGAACGCATTTTTTGGGCCGAAATGCTGTGCGATAGATAGGTGAAACGGATAGGTTAGGAGCAACATGACTGATGCACTCGGGGACCTTTTGATCAAAAGTTGCCACATTGATGATAGCTGATCTCGGTGTAGCGCTCCGAAAGACCGAAGAATGTTGATACGGCGGACTGAAATCGAGAACGGATGTTCCAGCCTGTCATTAATGGTGCCAACAAGATTGAAATGCACGACCACAGACACTGGGGGTGGGTACTTTGTCTCGGCTTACCTCGAGAATGGTCCTGGAATAGCAAGCGTTTTTCCGTGGCCTGGTTGGACTGAGTAATTCTTCGGGGCAGGATTCTCAAAGTATTTCGGAAAGACCCTTGCTTGTACCTGTTCATCCGGCAGAGAAGACCTTTCACTGGGTTGGAAATAGCGGCTTTTATGGAGAGGCGGTCGAAATAAATCATCATCTTCTGCTCTTGCGTGAACTGGTCGAGAGAAAGAAAAGGGTGTTCAGAGCGGCACACCATTCCTAAATCGTAACCCCTTAGAGCTCTATCACTGATCAATCGCTCCAAGTAGACCGTCATTTGGAACCTTCCGAGGATTGAACGATACATCCAATTTTGTGGTTGAGAATCGGTAAGGGGAGCACTCAAACTAAGGAGATTAATATGAGATTCAGTTATCCGGCTGCTCAGGGTCTTACCATATATCAAGAAAAGAAGACCGTGAATAACGAATAGGCCGAATTAATAATTCGTCCAATCCAACGCGTGATTGGAGATTTGCGGTATGTCTTGTCCACGGGGGGCAACAGTTTTCAGAGCCCATTCTGCCTGTCAAAGTTGAATCGGATAGAAGAGAGCTGAATATCACTTGATCACCTTATGTGTCGTGAAATTCCAGAGCAGGGTTCCTATAGGCGTCGGCTTTATCTAAGTTCCAGAAGTGCTGTGTAGGCGTGGGAATTCCGTCAGACAAGTGCGGTGAAAAGTTGTTCACCGCATCTTTCAAAGCCCGATCAGTGCCGTTGAGGAATAACAATGGTTTATCGCCGTTGAATGTCTGGGGCCGTCAACGTGCAAGAAGTACGACAGGGCCTTAATCCAAAGTGATCATAACCAAAAGCTGATTTGGAATTTCACGGGATAGCAGATTAGAGACGGTAAACCTCAACGGTGTGTACAAGACTGACTATTGCCCAGGAGAGCACTAAGTACGGACAACATCTCTCCTTTTCGCCGTTGCACCTATACGTTATTGTCGATTGCAATTTTCTAGGTGGGTTAAAAAGGCAAAAATGGTTCTTGGGAGACTCTAATTACAGGGATGCGGCTTGGATCAGTCTTCCATCTGCAGATCCTCTGGACTTTCGGTTGCTGTCTTCCCCGCTGTTACTTCCAAGACTTGAATTGCCTTAGCAATTCTGACTTGTGAACTCAATAGCTCGTTCCTCAAATTGCTGTTTTCGAATGTCGAATTTTCTAGCTCGTTGCGAGTGTGAGAGAGGGCTTGTTCTAGTCGGTTATTTTCGGCCTGTGACTGGTTCAGATGTTCATGAGCGCAGCTCAACTCTTCTTTCAGCTTGGAAATTGCAATTTCAAGCCGCAAAATCGTTTCTGTAAAAGAACTCGAACATGGTCCTGCGATCTGACCCTAGATTTTAAAGTGTTAGAGACCACGCTAACCACTCTGGAAGAATCTGGGCATGCCTCATTCGCTTTGTCCTTTGCCGTGCCCTTCAAGACCTGCACAGGCACCGCTTCCAGAGAGCGCCCCAACTCCTCACAGATGGATTGATAGAACCAAATGTTGCCGCTACTGAGACTTTTTTTCAAGAGTGCGGCACTCGTGCCCGTGGCTGACCAAGAGTAACCGTCACCTGGGAGGGGTTGCAACCGGACCTGGCCAGGTGCTATGGTGAGACCCAGTCGCTCATCCACGAAGAGGTTAGCAGTAATTTGAGAATCATCATGAGATCGAAGCTTACAGATGTGGGTGGACATGGCCTCGCGACACCTGATTCTCAAGAGTGCTCGCTTAGAACTACTGGCTCTAGTCATTTTGGCTTTCCGATGTAACTGATGCTGTCGATGGGTAGCAGGCAAGAGCAGCTGCAGGAACACATCATAGTTTTATAGAAGCTTGAAGCCATTAGATTGGCTCTAGATATGATAGTGGGCCTATAATCTTACCACTTACCATCGCTTTTCCTGTCCCAACCAACGTTTAACCGTTGAATACCCGTACTTTCCTGACTGTCGGGCTGAATGGCCCTCCGACCTGATGGCCCCTATCTCTAGGTAGCACACCTCGAATGAATGAGGGTAGTGTACCGCATAAAAGCCTGTAGCTCTCTGGTTTGAGACGCCATTTTTATTGCTGAAACACTCGCTATATGTCACAGTCAGAAATGATATTTGGTAGAATTGGAAGCAAACAATTCAAGCTTAGCCAGGTTGGGTGGTTTCATGTCTCTCGAATATATATAGCCAGATAATTTCACCTTCGTCTCTTCGCTATTGATTCAAGTCGTGATGTCTCCCAGTACTCGCCAGGCGCTTCGAAAGAGCCCAAATAATATGTCCGACCCGGAGAAAGTCCCGCTACTGGAGCCATCCAATAACGTGAAGGAACTGGAAGCAACCGGAGATGAAAACCTTCAGAGTCGGTATCGGAACAATGGACGTGACTCCAAGTCTTCCTACTCAAACACTCAGACGATAATTCGAATGCGCCTTCGTCCAGGGCCGAATGGGCCACGTCTCTCCTTTCTGACCATCTCTAAGGAAGGGACTAAGAAGAAAAGTGGATTTCAAAAGATCCGCAGTCACGTCGAAAATACGAATCCCGAAGAAAAACGACACGATTGGATGAGACGACTGCGCCCAAAGCCTCATCGCTGCGCCAGCTAGCGACCGACGTCTCCCTCGACACACAGTCTATCCTCTCTTTGAGTTTGGATGTATTACAGAAGATAGTTTGTGTTGGTATGTGTACACAGTTAAGACAGTTTATGCTTCTAAGCAAAAGTTGATTGATTCGTATAGGATAGATGTGTCTTCCAAGTCCTCATCCAATGCCCCTGAATCCATGCGGCGGGAGCCGCAGCTAGTAAGATTACGTACAACATGTCTGTCTTTGCTTATTCTGACGGGAGGATATGCCCGACAGTTTGGAATGGTCGATTCGACCCATATGATAAATATGATTGGATTGCTAGTCTGGAATTCTAGAAAAGCTCTTATGATTTGTGTAGGTCATGTTTTGAAGCTAGCTAAATTGGAATCATTGCTTGCGCCATGACTACCTTGCTTTCATCTTGAATAAATGTGTGTTGCTCTACAGTTTTTAACATGCTGAGCGGCCAGATTCTGCACTTTTTCCTTTGCAAAGATCCATAGGACGACTTTGTGAAATTCATGACAAAATATGAAAGTGATCACGATGTATATCAAGGTGGGCAAATCACCCGCATGATGAATATGAACAAGCTTTCCAGTAATTGAGATGACCGCAATCAAAAAACGTTTTAATTGTGGTGAGAGGGTGTCAAACAGAACAATCTATCAACTTCGCCACGTTGTTCTACCCTGGAAATAACCCCACTTGTACCCACAGTAGAAGCACACTCACGCGCATTATCCGAAGAGGATCCGAAGAGGGGGTGCTGAAAAATTGTCCAAATGGCGATTAAGACAAGTTGGACCTGGTAAAATCAAAATTAGAATCACGTAGACCAAGCATCCATTTCAAGCGAACTTACCTCCAGTGCAATAATCCACAGCTTCCAGACGGTCCCAATAGCCGCAGTAGTGAGCAAAAGCAGAACCATGACAGAGACATACAGCGCGATCAGTTGTACCCTGGCTCGACCGTCTAGCGCTTGGCCAACCAACCACCAATACCAAAATGCCACCCCCAAGTAATCTAAACACAAAATATACAGAATACCCCAGTGTAAGCGGTCCCAGTAAAATGTTCCAGTGATAGCCATAGCCGCCTTTACAACACTAGACAATGTGGCGAGTATTGGGCATATGACGAGAACACACCCAGGCAGAGTTGGGAGCCGTCGTTGTTGGAAATCAATTCGAAGAAACTATGACTCGATTAGACCGCGATTCAAAAGTTGATAGAATGGTCAGACATACCATTTGGAGGGTTGGGGGTATAGCGCTTAGCTGAAGCAGGACTTCCCGCCCCACCGGCGCTTTGTCGGCCCAAAAGAGCCCTGCTAAAGTCGCAGACATAATGCAGGATAAAGTGTTTAAGCTCACATCCGCCTTGAAACGTGTCCAATTAGCTTTGAAATGGAATAGAAGGTATAGTCTGATCAAATGCATCAATGTCAAGAAAGTCACTAGGCTCGACGCGGTAATGGAGAGGGATATCATGGCGCCGTGACCACAGATCTAATGGTTTCAATGGGAACTGACTGTATAGGAAAACTGGATGCATGGCTGCAAAGCTGTGTTATTTATCCAAAGGAGCTCGACATTCTCCTAGGAGGACGATAGTCCCATCCATGATCAAATAGATGCATTTTAAAAACTGCTGGGCATCTCATGACAGTCTTATTTGCGCATTCCTCAGGAAGCTGGCAGACGCATTATCCAGGATAGAAGCCGCGGGAGATCAATTTAATACTATGCCGCAAAAATGACAGATAGTGAGCAAAGTGAGCAGATCATTGAGATGAGATTATTTAAAACGTGCTGCTCCCTGAACATTCCCATCCATATATTTCGATCCGATGATCCCGTCTCCCAAAAATATTTGTAGCCATGAGGCTGGCTCTTTCAAAGATCAAAGAAGCGATTATATCATTATCGGTTCCCCAGATTTACGGTGCTGTTTCTGTCGCGATCTGTCTGACATGGCTCTCTTGTGCATACGGGACTCTTCTTGTGGGGTGGTGCTGGAGGAAAGGGAAATACATCCTCTGGCCCCGTCTTCTCTCTCATGTCCCCGAGGCATGGCGCCAGACAGGGTATTTCATTGGGTGTGTGTGTCTCAGATGGATTGACATCAATGACACGGTCCAAGGCTTGTTTGTGGCTGTGCTGTTGGCTACAAACATTCTGGTTTTGGTCTTTGGTGCTGACTCTTGGCACACCATCATGAGGAGAGCTGGGCCACTCGCCGTAATCCACCTGGTCCCATTATGCTTTGGAATGCATTTTGGTCTACCGGCGGAAATTCTCCGTATGGAGAGAAACACATTTGCTTGTTTTCATCGTTGGATCGGCTTCCTTTCAATGGTTCACTCGATCCTCCACGCATGTTTCATATTCGAATCCCCCGAAATCATGACAATGATACGACCGAGCCAAGTTGTGGCGATACTTGTGAGTGATTGTCCTGTAATTGAGAGGCCCCTTTCGCAGCGCTTACTAACCTCAAGTAGGCTACCGTAAGCTTCATCCTAGCCGGAATCGTCACCTCCAGGTTTATCCGAGCGCATCATCCGCAGTTTGCCTTGAAATGTCACTACCTTTTGATATGCTTCATGGTCGCTGGAACGGGTCATCACCTTATACAGAAAAATTCACCTTACCGTTGGATACTGCTTGGGGCCATTTGTTGGTGGTTAGTTTGCACGGTGTTTCTCGGCCTACGAGCACTGGTTGCATATCTACCCTGGAAATCCCCAAGCACGGCAGTCCGCCTCTCTGCGGCTGACGGCATTCTTTGGATGGATTTATCAATAAAATCGAATCGACGATTCAGTCCCGGTCAATACATTTACTTATGGTTTCCACTGGCCGGATGGCGAGCGCTCACCCAGCATGTCCTGTGTTATGTCTCCGTTTGCGAATTCGAAGGTCCAAAAGAAAAGTGGAACATCCACATGGTCGTTCGACCCCAACGCAGGCTCAACCGAGCCCTTTACCATCTTTACCGGCTGCAGCAGACACAAAAGGCTTTTCGGAGGCAACCTGTCGCGGTCTTTGGGCCGTACGGGCGCTCACTCGAGCTTTCCTGTTATGGAACAATTATCTTCGCCTTGGAAGACATTGGTCTTTTCCGAGCACTCCCCTACATTGAGATGCTTCTTTGCGCAAGTTGCCAAAGAAGAGCTATGGTGCGTCGGGTTGAAGTTCTTTGGAAACGTGAGAGGCCTTTTCGTAAGTCAGGCGAAGTTGACGAGAGATTTATGGGAGAACTCACGATTTGAATAGATAACCCCGAATGGTATAAGCAGTGGAGGCAGCGGATGTTTGATACCGACCGGGATCATTTTGATGTAAGTAGGCCTAGACAGACCTTGGGGTCACTACTAACAAAAGCTCACGAAGATTCTGCAATTTCGAATTTTTTGCGAAAAGCCCTGCTCCGAGAGCCCGTCTAGTCAATGTCGACGAATAGGAAAACGATTATGGATATATACTGGTGCAGTGGACTTTGAGATAGAAATGAGGCGGTATGTTGACCAGCAGCGTGGAAAGATGGCAGTCATAGGTGTGTAACTCGCTATGCGCTTTGCGATTTACTCGGTTGGTTAACAATTGAATAGTCTGCGCTGGTCCAGATACCAATGTGGCTGTTCGAAATGCAGTTCAAGTGCACTTTCGGGGATCTGCACGGATTTTTGATCTGGATATGGGACCGAATCATCGCTGGTCGGAGGAAGAACATGCTGGGAGAAGCAAGTCGTCGGGTCATCGTCATGGAGAATCTGCTTAATCCGAGTTGAAGGTGGTGTATGGCTGGGGGAGGGTCATTGTTCGCAAACGTTCGACATAGTCGTTTATTTCTATCTAAATCATTTTATTACTTGAAGTTCAGATGTGCTCTGCTTTATTTGTTGGCGAAGTCTCCAATAAAGTAAAATATGCAATTATAAATCTTCTCGTATCATGATGTGTGTAATAGAGAAGTGAGTTACTTGAACTAGCTGGCCATTCTTTGGCCACGCAAAATGGCCTAAAACAGTACGAAAGATGCAGTTCCTTAGACAATTTATTTAGAACTAGTCGAGTTGGATAGAAGAATGATACTT